GTCATTGGTGTCTTCACTGAGAATGGGAACAGGAATCATATCAGTGCCAGTCATGACGATACAAGTACAGTTTCCTTGTTTAAAGCACTGCACCAACTGTACCTAATTAACCTTCATGACAGCACAGCAATACAAGGAAATAGGGATCATTAACTTCAGTTTTGCTTTACAGAAAGCGAAGAGAAACATCAGTGCCAGCCCCATGCATTTCAAATTGAGGTAGGCTTGAAAAAGTCACAAGGTTAAAAATAACAATAATCCACTTGGGGTTCTCAGAGCATTAAGAGTGCACTTGAATCAAACTTCCAGTTTTTTCTCCAAGAAACATCAGGACTGGAAACTTCTCTCCCATATATGCTTGTTTGTGACTCAACAACCAAGGCTTTCAGAAAATTACACATTTTCAGTCACAGTGGGGCAGAGGCAGTAAAGGTCAGAATGACTTCCTCAGTGTTGCTTAAAAAAACCTAGGAAAAGATGGAACTAAACTGTGTGAGTAGTTGACCCTCCACCCCCTGCTTGTTCCTCCAGACCAAACATTTTTCTAGGTGAGGGAACCTGCCTAAATCAACCAGTGGCCACTCAGTAGCTGTCAGAGGAGTAATTCAGGTTTGAACTAGTGACCTCACCCCTTCCTCCCATATCTGCTGAGGGACAGACTGATGACATTGACTGTTTTTAGTAGGCCTCTGAGCAGCCTCGCTGCTTTGTCTGGGGCCCAGCAGGAATGGAAAGATGCAAAACTAGGGCTGCTCTCTGACACTGCTTTCCTAGCTTGGGGCTGTTTTTATAAGTCAGTAGGAAAGAGCAACTTGCACAAGTCCTTAAAGTAAAGAGTTCACCCCGCCTGTCATATCACCTGCTGGCAGGGGCTGAGGGCAAGAGTAGTGCCTGTGCAGTTTGTCCTGGGCACCAGCACAGGCTCACATTTTGTCTCTCCAAATGACTGCAGTGCAAAGCCCTGAAAAATGTCATGGCAGCACAAAATTTGTATCTATTATTAACAATCTCACTTCTGCCCATAGATCCATAGATGCTGTTAGGATCAGGTGAGAAGATCTGCCCTGGTGGGCAGGACCGCTGCTTGGGAAGAGAAGCCAGCGGGGCGTGCAGGTGGTGGTGGCCAAGGAGAGGAGAGTGTGGGGAGACACCTCTGTTGTGTGGGGTGCCAGCCCCAGCCCAGAACACAGGCATTGATACAGGAGAGCCTTTTAATCAACTCTTTTCTCCTACTTATTCTTCTGTTCTAAGCTGCCATGGGGTGAAGTGAAGCTGAATGGACCCTTGAAAAGGCCAGGTCATTGATGGAGGAAAAAGGGCTCTGCAGATTGTGAAGAGCCTTCATGAGCAGCATGGGCTGCAGCTGGCTCCAGGGAACAGAACTGTTCCCCTGCTTAGGCAGTGTGTCTGTCTCTCTGATTATTTTGTGTATTTCATCTCTGCTGTCTGTCTTGCTCCTAATCTGGACTCCTCTGTGCCAACAAAATGCTTAGCTCGCTCCATTGTCTGAGAGACTAATTTGCACTGTAAATCTGATGCTTATCTTATATGACAGCTTACTGTGGGGTTTATTGCAATCCTGAAGACAAACTAACCAGGGATGGCTTGAAAGCTTTCAACGCATCATCTGGAATATAGAACAAATATGACCCATTTCAGCTTGCCACCAGGTTAGGATGTGGTCCCTTGTGGTTGGGGTCACTAGAGATTTATCTTCTTCTGTTCAAATCTATTCAAACCTGAGCATCTTTGGGTTTTGGTTTGGTTTTTTGTATATTTGGTTGATAGGCTTGGGATTTTTTTGGTGTGGTACATCTTCTGCTTTGTGTTGGAGCTGTTAGAGTGCTTCTGCAACAGCCTCTCACCCTCCCAGGGCCAAATCTTCCATCCCTTCTGCCTGAGGAGTTCTAAGGACAGTGAGAGTGGCTGCATACCAGGTGCAGGCAGTGTGCAAGCACTGGTGCTCCAGTGCGCTGCAGCTTTGTTGTCTCTGCCAAGCTTGAGCAGAAAGAACCTTTGTCCTTGCCTTGTCTTCATTAGGGTTTCCTGACACTTTGTCCAATATGTTCTACTCTCTGCTGGCAGAGTAATGTCCTCCCTCAGTCTCGTCTGCAGTTGCCACCTTCTCTCTGGTCCGTAGCTGTCCACCTGCAGGCATTCACATTCCCTGTAAGAGATTCTTACACTAGTGTAGTTCAGATAGCTGGGCAGCTCCAGAGGCATAAATCTTCCTACAGATAGGTTCCAGGTAGCCTAAGATGCAGTTTTACTGGGGGAGAGCCAGAAGGATACTTTGATATAGGTCTTGGTTCTGCAGCTGAGCATGCCAAGAGGTGTTTAATGCCCAAAGCTTCTGCATTGCAGTCCTCTGGGACACAAAGGATCCGTTTCCTCACATGGGGAGCAGGAATACAAGACCTGCCATCCTTGAAGAATAGTGGTTGTTTGGAGGACCACTCTGGCTTTTACCTAGTCCTGCTTTACAGTTGCATGGATTTCTGAACCCCTCAGTTCTTCCTGCCCTTGGACTGCAGACAAAACACAGAAATGGCTGTGCTGGATAAGCACTGTGGAGCAGTTGAGGACTAGCAGCTAAAGTGGACATGGAGCCAATGGGTCTCAGTAACATTGAGGGAGAGGAGAAAAAGAAGACCTCTTGAGAAACTGTTGAGGAATAGGTAAGGAATAAGTTGTATACTGGGTAGAACTGTGCACTGGAAACTCTGTACTGGCCCTTCTCCAGCTCCATATTTCAGTCCATATTATCAGATAGATGTGCAATTTAAGGCTTATTCCAAGTCATCAGAGCTAGTGAGCATCAGACTCCCTGCCCAAGGGAGACCTCTGTTCAGACTGGGAGAAGCTATGGGGAAAATGTAGGAACACAAGAAAACTCCAAACTCTGCAGAATTTTAGTGGAATCCAGGACAAAAATACCTAGGGAAGGATCATCACACCACCTGATTGTGGTTTAGGGTTAGGGTTGAGAGAGTCAAAGAGCCTGTAGCTCCAGGAACACTGCAGCTTGAAAAAGCTGGCACCACTGCCATGGTGATTGCAGCAGGGTCCCAACATTGCTACTCCCACATTTTTCTGATGTGGAGACCCTTGGTGTTGTATTAGGGTTCCTCTTAGGCTAATGGGGAATATTTCAGCCCCTTCTGCTGGGCTGTGATAAGCAGGATCTGGATGCTTTCACAAAAAATTGGAGCCTGATACCACTTTATACAAATACAACAAAACTGCAGTGATTGAACAGGCAGCAATATCCTTCTGTAGTTCTCTCCACCTAACAAGATGCTCCAATGAATAAAGCCATGGGAGCTTCCATCCATCAGGAAAAGATCTAAAAAAACTGTTGGATAACCAAATATGTGCCAGCATCATTCTTAACTAACTGCTATTTAGCTTTTTACAGACCTAACTCATGTTCTGCCTTTTTTTTAACCTTTTTTGTCTGCATTTTTTTGCTGATGCTCACTTTGTGAATCATTGAGGAGGGGAAAAACAGAGCCTATAAACATTTAGGTTTTCTGCTCCTCTGACACAATTTGTTGTCCATCTAAAAATTATTCCCACTTAGCACCATCTGCAGTTGCAGAGGCACAAACATTCACCACTTTGCTGTTTCTGTAATGGAGCTGGAAATACAATATTCATTACCCCAGCTGAAGCTATTTTCTTACCCTGTGAGGTCGGAGGCATTATTTCATGCTGGAGAATTAGAAAGATTAACAGGTTGGGTGGACTGGCCACCAGTTCACTTTCTGAACTGAATCACCATCCCAGAATGGAAACTTCAATGGATTTGATATCACCTGCCCACCACCTCTACTTTTGTGGGTGTTGTCACTTGTGTTCAAACACAGAACAAGCTATAGTAGAATAATAAAAGCAGAAAATGAATTCTCATAGTTGGACCTGCAAACCTTCCACACCAGCTCCCCATGGATTTCAGGGTGAACCCACTTCTTTTTTTTCCTGCCAGGATTGCTTTACTGTGTTTTTCAATTATTAGTAACTCATCTCATGCACAGAACTGGCAGCGAATCAGAAGTCAGAGTATCCAAAATACCTTGGCCCATGAACAGAGCTGCTCTTGCTTTGCTGCCTGCGCATCACTTTGTTAGCTGATGCAGAGGGAGAGGGTTGTGTGCAGGCCAGCAGGAGAGTTGTCAGGTTTGAATCCCGTGAGAAGCAGTTCAGAGTCAGCCCTTTCCCAAGAAGTGGTTGAGCTGTGAACATTATATCTGCAGTGTTGTGGGCAGGTGTGATGGCAGCTTGGGTGGGTATATCATGCTGGCCTTGATCCAGCTGGCACAGGTAAACCAGCAGTGACACAGTGTAGTAACTTAAGCACTGTCTTAACACTATTAAATACATAGCTGGGATCTCTGGAGGGCTTGTACAACCCGAGGTGACGTTTCTGTCACTGTATCTTTACTGCAGTTTGCTATCTCTGCTCACTCAATTACAGCTCTCGCAGATAAGTCTGTGCTGTGCCTCCATTCCACATCTGACATGAGCCCAGACCTGCTTCCAAACAGATGCTTCTGAGGACCTGCAGGCCCCACAAATATCAGCTGTTGCTGTCTGTAGTTCATGCCTCCTGTGCTGGCATTAGTCTTTGTGATTTACTGGCATTAGCCAACACGCACGGGAGGGAAATTGTATCTCTTGTAAAGTGGGATTTGCTTTGCACTGCAGCACAAAGGCTTGCAAATTTGGGGCTGTAACTGACCTGCCTTTTTCCCTTCTCTGCCACACAGGCAATTCTGTTCCCACTCCTACCCTCTCAAAGTCCTTTCCTGCTATGCCATAGGCCTGAATTGCCTTGGTTTCTCCTTCAGTCACCAAGAGGTCTAGGGCTGCAAGGCAAGGCATTGTGCACATGAAAGCATGTACCATGTGCCAGGACAACCATCCTCAGCTGGAAAGGGTGCTCAGGGAGGTCTCCGGCATGACCACTTCTGACATTCCCTTTCTCTCTCTCCCCACAGATGCCAGCAAGGACCACCCACAGCAGCAGGCAGGAGTCATCTGGAGAGTGACAGGTGGCCTATTCAGTATCACCCGGGGAGCTGTGGGGGCCACACTGGGAGGAGTTGCCTGGGTGGGCAGCAAGAGTCTGGAGCTCACCAAAACAGCTGTGACCAGTGTCCCCGCTGCCGGCGTTGGACTGGTGAAGGGCAGCGTCTCAGCAGTGACCGGCGGCGTCGGAGCTGTGGGCAGCGCGGTCGCCGGCAAAGTCCCTTTCACTGCAAAGAAGAAGGACAAGGCTGACTAATCCCTGTCGCAGCTCCCTTCCAAAAGATCAACCTGCCCATACTGTCCCCCTACCCAGCACCTTTTTGAGTTGGAACCAGCCGCTTCAGGGAGGCTCGAGCACCCGAGCAGACTCTGGCTGCAGCCTGCTCAGCACCGCCTGCCTAGCTCAGAGCTCACAGAGCCACTGTCAATGCCTTTCACTCCCATCACCTACTGGGAACCATCTTCACTCTGAGGACTTTAAAGGCGCGGTTGTCTCTGTCTTGTAGTTTCCTTCCTCCCTTCTTGTTCTTGTAAGCATGGAGGGATGGGAGAAGGCATCAGGCTCCATCTGCCTGGAGGTGAAGGGAGTAACAGGGGATGGGGGAGAACTATGCCTGGCTTGAAGTGTGGGTTGTGTAGTCAAATTCAACTTCAGCTGGAAAGACAGCCTCTGAAACACCCCTTCCCTCTGGAAGGTGTGTTTGGGAGGTGTGCCTGGCAGAGAACTGCAGAAGTCCCATCGACACAAAGGCGATATACTGTGAAGAGGGGAAGCCTCCCTCCTGCCCTGCACCTGTTTTCTTTGCAAGGCCCATCCCCACAAGCTGCTCCCAGTCACTTACTCCCTGGCTGAATTGAACCCTTCAGAGAGGGAACCCTCAAGCTGAGCAGAGCAGCTCTGGGGTGATGCCACACCAGAGCATGATACATCCCAGACCATCAACTTCTGCACAGATTTTCTTGGTGAGAGGGAGGAATATGAAAGCTGCTGTATGTTCCCATTTGAGGAAGGAGCTGACAGTGGCACTTGCCAGGCCTCTGCGATATTGCAGTTCAGGCAGTGATGTTCCACAAAGAGACCAGGCCTTTTGTTTGACCCTTGAAGTCCTTCCAGTATCCCATTTTGTAACAAGGGCATTTTGTCTCTTGGCCACACTCACACTCCACAGACGTCACTAGTAACCAGGAGCAAGTGTGTTCCCAAATGCCATCCAAATTCTGCTTCAGGGATGGTGGGGAAGCTGAGAGTCTTGCTCTCCCCATGACTCAGCACCCTGGGAGTGGGGGCCTGGGTGTGAGTGGGCTGCACCATGTTGGAAAACACTTCCCAAGGGGCTGAGCATGCTCCAACAGCAGTTAGCCTGCACAGGGCACCAGCAACTCCTCTTCTGCACGCTGCTCCTGCGGCCCCAGCCCGGCTCCTCTAAAGGACCATGTTGCACTAAATAGCCCACCCGTAGTTGTAGTGCCGCAGAAACCCAGACACCTGCATCCATCTGGGAGTCACAGCCATCCTCAGCCTGACCCCTGATGCTCAAGGGGCCATGTGGCATTGTACAGACACATACAAACACAAACATGCACTCACTCACTCCCTCCAAGGTCCCCTGTAATTCTTGGGATGAAGAAAGCCCCAGGCTCCACCAGTAACTCTGCTGCTCCTGGCTTTGGCAGGTGATTTGCCTAGGTCTGTAGGGGTTGGATGCTTAGGCAAGGGAAGCAGTGCTTGTGCTGTATTTTATAAACATGCGTATGTGTTAGCGTGCGTGTTAAGTCCACAGGCATGTCTTCAGCCAGGGAATCAAACCTGTGCCACTGCTGCAGAGGAGTTCACACAGTCATCTTTGGCACTTCCAGAGTATAGTTTTTATATAGGGGTCCTGGTCAAAAGAAAAATCATGTTTTAGAGGATGTTTTGCCCTCTGTTGCCCAAGAGCATAGTTTATTGAAACCAAAGGAATGTGAAAAATTCCCTTTCTCTTGTCTATGCTGTTTGTTTTCTCTCAGCCCTATCTTTTGGACGTTGAAGCCAACTTTCTTGATCTTCATTTCCCCTTGGAGGTCGTTGCACTTCCTGACTGCTCTCTTGTGCTTAGGACTTAGACATCAGGGAATATTTAAGTACAACACACATAAACCCCCACCACCATTTTTGCTGAATGTTCTTGAGCTTGTGATGCAGTTTTCGTTCTGACCTTTATTAAATCCACATTTTGGGATGTATGTTTCTGTGTCCCCCTGATAATCATGCTGGTGTTAGTCATTCTCCATACCCTTTGCTAGGTAGCCCCTGCTGTTTGCAGTGGTAAGAAGCTGCTGATCTCCACAGTTTGCTCCTCCTGACAGCATGAGAAAGTTTTGACTTACATTTTTGTTTCTGAAGAGGAAGCAGCATTTGGTAGGTATGTGCATTTCCTCACTTTGTGTCCTTTGTTCTGGTGAAGGCCAAGTTGACCCTGACATGCCGGTTTTGTCTCTGAAGGCAGCGGCTTCACAGAAAGATCAGGCCTTGATGTGTGCCTGCACTTTGCTGGGATGCTCGTGGCAGTTGTCAAGGCCAGAAGAAGTCCTGTCTGTTCTCCCTTTGTCTCAAACGCCCTGCAAAGCTGGAGGACAGTTTGCACTGCATGGATCTCTGCTCACTGCTCTCCCTGAGCACAACTCATCTCTTATTCCAGATCACAGACTGCCTCTGAAGCGAGCTCTAGCCCCAAAGCTGAAAGCTGCTTATGTGTAACTAGCTGTGTTGTCACCAACCCTCTGAGAAAGATAGCTTCTGGCCATTGGGACAGAAGAGTCTTCTTCCTCAATGTCTCTCCCAGGTCTTGGACAGGAGAAGATAGAATATAAGAACCTTCGGCAGCCAGCCCTGGGTGGGTGGTGGGAGGCTGATTGTGCTTTTGGCTAAATAGTGTTTCTTGCTGGGGGAGGCAGTACATCCTGCCCAAGCTGTTGTCTGCAGGCCCTGTGTCTACACAGCAGGCATGGCAAATGGGATAAAGGTGATGTAAGGAAAGCCACTGGGGCCCTGAGGGTTTCCCATCTTTTTATTTCTTCTCTTCTGTGCATCCTTGCAGGAAATAGAGTAAAGCCTATCATTTGTCTGGAACTGCCATTTCCTTGCAGGATGGCCTGGAGAAGGAGATGAGCTGGAGAGGAGAACTCACAGCCTAAATCACTGTTCTTACAGCCCAGCTAAAAGGACAGCTCAGGGACCGTGAGTAGCAAGAGATCAAATTAGCAGGCAGGGGTAGAAGATTAAATCTACTCCAAAAACAAGGCCTCACACTGCTAAACAGGCATTCAGGAATAAGTGACTCTCCAGGACTCAAAGGCTTTAAGAAAGTCTGTGCTAGGCCTGCTCATTTCACCATGGTGACCCAGTCCCAGCCTGCTTTTCTGGGCATTTACAGTGCCAGAGCAGAGGGAAAACAGGGTCAGTCTTCCCAGTCTAAAAGTAAAGATGCCTTCTGACAGCTTTGGTTGCAGGACAGTGGGATTTGGATTGGACGGGGAAGCTGTTGGCTCTTGTCAGATGCCCTCTCTTTCCTCCTCCCCCACTACAGAAACTCCAGTCACTCAGGCCACTGGTGCAGCCCTTCTCTCACTGCACAGTCATGGTACAACAGGCAAAAACTGTGTTGTGCATTAATCCCGTGGCTACTAGATGGGGTAGCTTGGCACAAAATAGGAAGGGGTGGTATCAGGGTAGAGGGAAGGATTAAAGGGAGTTTATACACAGAAGATGAGGAGAGAGTGGTGTGACAAGAGGACTTGAGGAGTGGGGGAACAAGAAAACGAGGACCATGGAAAGAATTTGTTTCTTAGGACAGGCTTTGAATCAGAAGATGAGTGCAATGGAGTTTGTCCTAGGGAAGAGCACAGAAAGGGGAGTGAATCAATGTGGGTTTTGGTGTGTGGTGGTGGCACATGCCTGGCTTGTGCCCTGCTTCCATAGTAATGATGATTGCTAGCAGTTTCCATTTAGATAGATCAGTGGATGGTTGAAGCATCAGATCAGCTCCCTTCTTATCACCCACCCTTCCCAAATCTCCCCCAGGCTTTTGTCATGATCTCCCCATGATGGGGCTGGGTCTCCCCCATGGTGGAGGTGGGATGTGGCCGTGTCTGCAGCCCTGTGTCCCACCTTGCCTGGCTCTTCCCTGTGCCTGACAAACATGTCCTGGCTGAAAGGAGACCCACAGGTGCATCCTTTCCTCCCTTTTCCCTGACCTTAGTCTCAATAACCTTTACTTTTTTATCCCTCTCTTAGCTTCTGGTCTTGCCTGTGGATAGAGCTCCCCAAAGCTTTTGGTGAGACCTTCATTAAACATCCACACTCTCAGTGTCTGGGAGGGCAGAGGGTGATTGCCCCTGCAGCTCCCCTGGCTGGGAGAGAAGTGCATGTCTTCCACCCCTCTCTGTCCCCTTGTGTTTTGTGTGTGGAAAATCTTAACCCACTTCTTTTTCTCTGGGTTCCCTTGTTGGCTCTTATCCCTGTGGGTGGGTCATTTCCGTGTCTCCGTTGCAAAGTCATCCTTGTAAAAACAACAGCATGAGTGGGAATATGGAGATGGTTAGAGAGAGCCGCAGAGCCAGGGCCCAGCTCTGCTCTGTAGGAGCTGAGGAGGCCTTTGGCAACTCAAAACTGTGGCCACACGGTCCTGTGCACAGTGCTGGGCTCCAGAGAACACTTTTGTTCTTTATCATTTCATTGTCTGTAATTGGTTTCCTACTGAATTTGTTTGCTTGGTTTGTTTTGCAGTGTGTTTCTGGGAATATTCTGCATCTCTGTATTTTAATTACAGTAAAATTTGAGGATAAAAACCGTGATTATGCTGGCTCTTGTTCCTAGTGGGGGGAAATGAGGAGAGGATGCACAATTGAAGGAAGATGTTAGAGATTCCTTGGGAAATTAGATCTCTCCCCTAAGGGCTCTGGATGAGGCACCAAGCAAGGCAGAATCTCCATCCCTGCTTAAACTAGGACATAGCTTTCAAGTGTGGTTCAAAAGCCATTTTGCTGCAGGCGCCTTTCCTGATTGGAATGGTAAGAACAGTTTGGATAAGACTTCTAAACTCAATTTTTTGTGTTGGTTTAAAGACCAGTGCATAAGAGGGCTTTCAGGCTGGGGACAGCTGGCCTAGCCCTGAAAGTGGGATCTCAGCAGCTGAAGATGGGAAATTTTGCCTCTACAGCCGCTGTTCCTTCAGGCAGGTTTGCATAGCCACTTTTCCCAGCTGAGGAAGCAAATTCTGCTACAGCAGCCTGCTCCTTCTGCAGGAGATGGGGGTTTGACATCCCTCCCCAGGGCTGCAGCGAGCCCCCATGGGGCAGCCTGACCCTCTGCTGGCTGGCTGGCAGTGTTGGTGCTGGGGGGCACAGCCAGCAACTCCAGGCACCTCATCTGCTCCCTGGAATGCACAGCCCTCAGGGAAGACTGCAGGCCAGTGGCCGGGCAAGGCTGGATCAGTCACAAGACAGGGTGTCCCTTTTACTGGGTCG